GGATTAGGGCACTTTAGTACGACAGTTTCTTGACGTTTGGAAATCTTAGGAGGACGGACTGTGTCAATAGCGGCCCATTATAAGCTGCATGCCACCTTCTGAATCAGGGGGAGTAGGAAGCACCCAGCTTGACACGAAATAGCTTGAGTGACACATGGGAGTCTCGTACACGACTTGTTGACAAGTAGCCACTATCAACCATCGACCCAAGTTTCACTCCTTAAACATATCAGTCTAAGATAGAGTGCACAACTGTAGCTCCTCCGGCGGGTGGGTCCAAGGGGGAAAGTGATCACTTTATAGCGATGACTTGGCCAGAGCGACCACATGGGCGTAGCTGGACTTAGCCTTCAGATATTTTTGTATATTTTCATTTTAAACATCAAGTCCATGTGCAACATTCCGTAACTGGAAGAGTGAAGTACGCATTGTTCTGTACCTTCTGAGCATGATCTACGATGCTATGTGCACTCTCACCATGATCGAGTGCTCTCTGCACTCTGACAATAATCTGAAGCAGTGAATGTAATCATTCCTGGTGAGTATGATCTCACATTCCACTTTGCCTCCTAAGCAAGGCAACTCTACCCCCGGGCGTCTCCACTCTGGAGGAGGAGGACGAAGGCTCTCTATGTGCATTGACTAATAACTTACTCTGGCTATTACCTACCTCACCCTGATGAGTGAACTGCCCTCCTACACCACAGCACATATAACGATAGAAACATAGTCACAATATGCACTGTTACATCAAAAGGAAAGCCATGTTCTGCATTACTGCTCTACTAAATGCAATAACAATGCAACAACCTAAGTTGTTGTTTCAGAGTCAGCTACTCTGAACAAAAGCTCCAAGCAGCACGGGCTATGGTGAGCGCGCAGTGGACTTTTTTTCTAAGCTAACTTTTCCTGGGAGTTACGTATACAATTTAAGGTCTAGTGCAGCACATGTATGTATTGTCCATGCCCTAGGTAGAGCCCTGTTAGGGCCAACACCTGCGAGCAACGGGTGGAGCCCTGTTAGGGCCAACACCAGCGAGCAACGGGTGGAGCCCTGTTAGGGCCAACACCAGCGAGCAACGGGTGGAGCCCTGTTAGGGCCAACACCAGCGAGCAACGGGTGGAGCCCTGTTAGGAGCAACACCTGCGAGCAACGGGTAGAGCCCTGTTAGGACCAACACCTGCGAGCAACGGGTGGAGCCCTGTTAGGGCCAACACCAGCGAGCAACGGGTGGAGCCCTGTTAGGGCCAACACCAGCGAGCAACGAGTGGAGCCCTGTTAGGAGCAACACCTGCGAGCAACGGGTAGAGCCCTGTTAGGACCAACACCAGCGAGCAACGGGTGGAGCCCTGTTAGGACCAACACCTGCGAGCAACGGGTGGAGCCCTGTTAGGGCCAACACCAGCGAGCAACGGGTGGAGCCCTGTTAGGACCAACACCTGCGAGCAACGGGTGGAGCCCTGTTAGGACCAACACCTGCGAGCAACGGGTGGAGCCCTGTTAGGGCCAACACCTGCGAGCAACGGGTGGAGCCCTGTTAGGACCAACACCTGCGAGCAACGGGTGGAGCCCTGTTAGGACCAACACCTGCGAGCAACGGGTGGAGCCCTGTTAGGACCAACACCTGCGAGCAACGGGTGGAGCCCTGTTAGGACCAACACCTGCGAGCAACGGGTAGAGCCCTGTTAGGACCAACACCTGCGAGCAACGGGTGGAGCCCTGTTAGGACCAACACCTGCGAGCAACGGGTGGAGCCCTGTTAGGACCAACACCTGCGAGCAACGGGTGGAGCCCTGTTAGGACCAACACCTGCGAGCAACGGGTGGAGCCCTGTTAGGACCAACACCTGCCAGCAACGGGTGGAGCCCGGCCTGGACCAACACCTGCCAGCAACGGGTGGAGCCCGGCCTGGACCAACACCTGCGAGCAACGGGTGGAGCCCTGTTAGGACCAATACCTGCGAGCAACGGGTGGAGCCCTGTTAGGACCAATACCTGCGAGCAACGGGTGGAGCCCTGTTAGGACCAATACCTGCGAGCAACGGGTGGAGCCCTGTTAGGACCAATACCTGCAAGCAACGGGTGGAGCCCTGTTAGGACCAATACCTGCGAGCAACGGGTGGAGCCCTGTTAGGACCAATACCTGCGAGCAACGGGTGGAGCCCTGTTAGGAGCAACACCTGCGAGCAACGGGTGGAGCCCCGCTAGGAGCAACACCTGCGAGCAACGGGTGGAGCCCTGTTAGGACCAACACCCGCGAGCAACGGGTGGAGCCCTGTTCGGAGCAACACCTGCGGGCAACGGGTGGAGCCCTGTTAGGACCAACACCCGCGAGCAACGGGTGGAGCCCTGTTAGGAGCAACACCTGCGAGCAACGGGTGGAGCCCTGTTAGGACCAACACCTGCGAGCAACGGGTGGAGCCCTGTTAGGAGCAACACCTGCGAGCAACGGGTGGAGCCCTGTTAGGACCAACACCTGCGAGCAACGGGTGGAGCCCTGTTAATACCAACACCAGCGAGCAACGGGTGGAGCCCTGTTAGGACCAACACCTGCGAGCAACGGGTGGAGCCCTGTTAGGAGCAACACCTGCGAGCAACGGGTGGAGCCCTGTTAATACCAACACCAGCGAGCAACGGGTGGAGCCCTGTTAGGACCAACACCTGCGAGCAACGGGTGGAGCCCTGTTAGGAGCAACACCTGCGAGCAACGGGTGGAGCCCTGTTAGGACCAACACCTGCGAGCAACGGGTGGAGCCCTGTTAGGAGCAACACCTGCGAGCAACGGGTGGAGCCCTGTTAGGAGCAACACCTGCGAGCAACGGGTGGAGCCCTGTTAGGAGCAACACCTGCGAGCAACGGGTGGAGCCCTGTTAGGAGCAACACCTGCGAGCAACGGGTGGAGCCCTGTTAATACCAACACCAGCGAGCAACGGGTGGAGCCCTGTTAGGACCAACACCTGCGAGCAACGGGTGGAGCCCTGTTAGGAGCAACACCTGCGAGCAACGGGTGGAGCCCTGTTAGGACCAACACCTGCGAGCAACGGGTGGAGCCCTGTTAGGAGCAACACCTGCGAGCAACGGGTGGAGCCCTGTTAGGAGCAACACCTGCGAGCAACGGGTGGAGCCCTGTTAGGAGCAACACCTGCGAGCAACGGGTGGAGCCCTGTTAGGACCAACACCTGCGAGCAACGGGTGGAGCCCTGTTAGGAGCAACACCTGCGAGCAACGGGTGGAGCCCTGTTAGGAGCAACACCTGCGAGCAACGGGTGGAGCCCCGCCTGGACCAACACCTGCGAGCAACGGGTGGAGCCCTGTTAGGACCAACACCTGCGAGCAACGGGTGGAGCCCTGTTAGGAGCAACACCTGCGAGCAACGGGTGGAGCCCTGTTAGGAGCAACACCTGCGAGCAACGGGTGGAGCCCTGTTAGGACCAACACCTGCGAGCAACGGGTGGAGCCCTGTTAGGACCAACACCTGCGAGCAACGGGTGGAGCCCCGCCTGGACCAACACCTGCGAGCAACGGGTGGAGCCCCGCCTGGACCAACACCTGCGAGCAACGGGTGGAGCCCCGCCTGGACCAACGTGAGGGCCAGCAGACAAGGCTCAGGCTACCTCAGCACGCTGCTCTGGCATGACTCTTGTTGGGAGGTAAACAGTTGCCAGATGTGAGGCAGATGTAACCTGGGGTTTGAACTACTAAAGCATCGCAGAGGTGTCACCAACACACGAGAACCCTTCAACATGCACTCAGCGCGGAGTGCCATCAGCACACAAGAGCCGGCACACTGTTGACACATGCACAGAGTCCATGTGTCAAAAGTGATCAGTAAAGTCACAGGTGTTCCGCAGTTGGTAGATACATGACTGCCACACACACGTGCACACACAGGGATCACTGTACAGGAGGTGGAGGACAGGACTGTGGTGCTCCCTGCGACCCTCCACTCCGGTGACAGGAGGTGGAGGACAGGGCTGTGGTGCTCCCTGCGACCCTCCACTCCAGTGACAGGAGGTGGAGGACAGGACTGTGGTGCTCCCTGCGACCTTGCACTCCGGTGACAGGAGGTGGAGGACAGGACTGTGGTGCTCCCTGCGACCCTCCACTCCGGTGACAGGAGGTGGAGGACAGGACTGTGGTGCTCCCTGCGACCCTCCACTCCGGTGACAGGAGGTGGAGGACAGGGCTGAGGTGCTCCCTGCGACCCTCCACTCCGGTGACAGGATGTGGAGGACAGGACTGTGGTGCTCCCTGTGACCCTCCACTCCAGTGACAGGAGGTGGAGGACAGGGCTACGGTGCTCCCTGCGACCCTCCACTCCGGTGACAGGAGGTGGAGGACAGGACTGTGGTGCTCCCTGCGACCCTCCACTCCGGTGACAGGAGGTGGAGGACAGGACTGTGGTGCTCCCTGCGACCCTCCACTCCAGTGACAGGAGGTGGAGGACAGGACTGTGGTGCTCCCTGCGACCCTCCACTCCAGTGACAGGAGGTGGAGGACAGGGCTGAGGTGCTCCCTGCGACCCTCCACTCCAGTGACAGGAGGTGGAGGACAGGGCTGAGGTGCTCCCTGTGACCCTCCACTCCAGTGACAGAAGGTGGAGGACAGGACTGTGGTGCTCCCTGCGACCCTCCACTCCGGTGACAGGAGGTGGAGGACAGGGCTGAGGTGCTCCCTGCGACCCTCCACTCCGGTGACAGGAGGTGGAGGACAGGGCTGAGGTGCTCCCTGCGACCCTCCACTCCGGTGACAGGAGAGGAAGTGCACCGTTACCCGCCACTATGATGATCACGCCTCAGCCAACCAGCACGCGGCTGACGTCGCTAATGTAACATTTTCAACGTCTGGAGTGAAATATTCCAGTGCCGCACGTGAAAATTTATCCGAACGTATAGAAATAAAGACTATATTTTTACGTCTTTTTCTAAATAACATTGCTGTAGAAGCTGGAGAGTCTTTCTGCTGCTCACTCGCTCACTTAACACGTAACTGAAGCTTACCAAGAGAGGTAATCTCATGTTGTCCACGTCGCGTCACGGACACAACACGACTGCCACGCCCGCGCGCACAGCCCTCCTTATGTACCCTCGGTGACCTGTGACGTCACAAGGGCATTCGCGCGAAAGTCTGAACGCTTGTTTGTGGGAGCGGTTCCCGGAGTGGGCGGGAGGAGCTGGGGGCGGGGACTCCACCCATATTATATTGTTTGCGGCTAGTGAGAAGATTCACTGTAATATTCTAAGTTATAGTCAATATGAAAGTAACTGTGTGAGAACTGCCACTACGGAGGTTACCTTGAGATGATTTCGGGGCTTAGCGTTCCCGCGGCCCGGTCGTCGACCAGGCCTCCTGGTTGCTGGACTGGGCAGAGAGAAGCTGGGGCGGTGCTGGGTATGTGGATTACCCCGCTAGATGGGGTATCAAGGTCGCTTCTCCTGCCTCTATGCACACTGTCATTATAGAATATCGCATTTTGACGTATACTTTGCCTGAGGCCAAAAAACTGTCGTACAAGAAAATGGTAGCGGCGCGCGAAGTTGACTTAATATCCCGTTTTCTGTTCGTGGGTCTTCTGGTAGGTTAGGATAGGGCACTTTAGTAAAACAGTTTCATGACATTGGGAACGCTGGCGGGAACGGTCGGCACTCTCATATATCAGTTGTAACAGATACCCCGGGGACCCTCCTCGGGGTATTAAAGTCCGGAAATCAAACGTTTGAAGCTGGGAACTTCAATGCTGGTGTTTAGCGTGATCCAGGAGGCGGCGAGGCTCGGGGAGGCAAGAGTCCCGTCCTCAACATCTGTCACAACTGTGCACTTGCTGAAGAAGGCAAGAGTCCCGTCCTCAACATCTGTCACAACTGTGCACTTGCTGAAGGAGGCAAGAGTCCCGTCCACAATGTCTGTCACAACTGTGCACTTGCTGAAGGAGGCAAGAGTCCCGTCCTCAACATCTGTCACAACTGTGCACTTGCTGAAGGAGGCAAGAGTCCCGTCCACAATGTCTGTCACAACTGTGCACTTGCTGAAGGAGGCAAGAGTCCCGTCCTCAACATCTGTCACAACTGTGCACTTGCTGAAGGAGGCAAGAGTCCCGTCCACAACATCTGTCACAACTGTGCACTTGCTGAAGGAGGCAAGAGTCCCGTCCACAACATCTGTCACAACTGTGCACTTGCTGAAGGAGGCAAGAGTCCCGTCCTCAACATCTGTCACAACTGTGCACTTGCTGAAGAAGGCAAGAGTCCCGTCCTCAACATCTGTCACAACTGTGCACTTGCTGAAGGAGGCAAGAGTCCCGTCCACAATGTCTGTCACAACTGTGCACTTGCTGAAGGAGGCAAGAGTCCCGTCCTCAACATCTGTCACAACTGTGCACTTGCTGAAGGAGGCAAGAGTCCCGTCCACAACATCTGTCAAAACTGTGCACTTGCTGAAGAAGGCAAGAGTCCCGTCCTCAACATCTGTCACAACTGTGCACTTGCTGAAGGAGGCAAGAGTCCCGTCCTCAACATCTGTCACAACTGGGCACTTGCTGAAGGAGCCAAGAGTCCCGTCCTCAACATCTGTCACAACTGTGCACTTGCTGAAGGAGGCAAGAGTCCCGTCCACAACATCTGTCACAACTGGGCACTTGCTGAAGGAGGCAAGAGTCCCGTCCTCAACATCTGTCACAACTGTGCACTTGCTGAAGGAGGCAAGAGTCCCGTCCACAACATCTGTCACAACTGTGCACTTGCTGAAGAAGGCAAGAGTCCCGTCCACAACATCTGTCACAACTGTGCACTTGCTGAAGGAGGCAAGAGTCCCGTCCTCAACATCTGTCACAACTGTGCACTTGCTGAAGGAGGCAAGAGTCCCGTCCACAACATCTGTCACAACTGTGCACTTGCTGAAGGAGGCAAGAGTCCCGTCCACAATGTCTGTCACAACTGTGCACTTGCTGAAGGAGGCAAGAGTCCCGTCCTCAACATCTGTCACAACTGTGCACTTGCTGAAGGAGGCAAGAGTCCCGTCCACAACATCTGTCACAACTGTGCACTTGCTGAAGGAGGCAAGAGTCCCGTCCTCAACATCTGTCACAACTGTGCACTTGCTGAAGGAGGCAAGAGTCCCGTCCTCAACATCTGTCACAACTGTACACTTGCTGAAGGAGGCAAGAGTCCCGTCCTCAACATCTGTCACAACTGTGCACTTGCTGAAGGAGGCAAGAGTCCCGTCCACAACATCTGTCACAACTGTGCACTTGCTGAAGGAGGCAAGAGTCCCGTCCACAACATCTGTCACAACTGTACACTTGCTGAAGGAGGCAAGAGTCCCGTCCTCAACATCTGTCACAACTGTACACTTGCTGAAGGAGGCAAGAGTCCCGTCCACAACATCTGTCACAACTGTGCACTTGCTGAAGGAGGCAAGAGTCCCGTCCTCAACATCTGTCACAACTGTGCACTTGCTGAAGGAGGCAAGAGTCCCGTCCACAACATCTGTCACAACTGTGCACTTGCTGAAGGAGGCAAGAGTCCCGTCCTCAACATCTGTCACAACTGTGCACTTGCTGAAGGAGGCAAGAGTCCCGTCCTCAACATCTGTCACAACTGTACACTTGCTGAAGGAGGCAAGAGTCCCGTCCACAACATCTGTCACAACTGTGCACTTGCTGAAGGAGGCAAGAGTCCCGTCCACAACATCTGTCTCAACTGTGCACTTGCTGAAGGAGGCAAGAGTCCCGTCCTCAACATCTGTCACAACTGTGCACTTGCTGAAGGAGGCAAGAGTCCCGTCCTCAACATCTGTCACAACTGGGCACTTGCTGAAGGAGGCAAGAGTCCCGTCCTCAACATCTGTCACAACTGTGCACTTGCTGAAGGAGGCAAGAGTCCCGTCCACAACATCTGTCACAACTGTACACTTGCTGAAGGAGGCAAGAGTCCCGTCCTCAACATCTGTCACAACTGTACACTTGCTGAAGGAGGCAAGAGTCCCGTCCACAACATCTGTCACAACTGTGCACTTGCTGAAGGAGGCAAGAGTCCCGTCCACAACATCTGTCACAACTGTGCACTTGCTGAAGGAGGCAAGAGTCCCGTCCACAACATCTGTCACAACTGTGCACTTGCTGAAGGAGGCAAGAGTCCCGTCCACAACATCTGTCACAACTGTGCACTTGCTGAAGGAGGCAAGAGGTCACATCTGGGACATTTGTCATACCATCGCACTTCAGCTCACTTGATATAGTAACCAAAAGAAAAATGATAAATCAAAAATAATTGACATTCAGAAGCAGACACTGAAGAAATCCCTGATAACAAAAACAATCATTTGTAAATGGCTGCTCTTGTTGCTCTTTGCAATGATATCTTCATGAATGTTTCTGGATTAGTGTGAAGTAGCAACCTTAAGGGGCTGGAACCGTTGATACATGTGCTAGTGCAAAATGTATGTTGTTTTTAGATTCATAGTAATGGGAACCAAAAGTTCCAGGTAGCACGGTCTATGGTGAGCCCGTAGTAGACTTATCTGGCACAAGAGCGGGGCAGTAACTGTGTTCAAGACTCTACTCCTCACTTTTATCATACAGGAGTTACCAGACCATGAACTTCTGGAGGCAATTATAATAATATAAACTTTTCTGAGTTAGTCAGATGAAGCGAGGCTCCTAAGGTGCTCTTGTGGTTACATCGGAGCTCTTGTGGCTACCTCGGGGCTCTTGTTGCTGCCTCGGGGCTCTTGTTGCTGCCTCGGGCTCTTGTGGCTGCCTCGGGGCTCTTGTGGCTGCCTCGGGGCTCTTGTGGCTGCCTCGGGGCTCTTGTTGCTACCTCGGGGCTCTTGTTGCTGCCTCGGGGCTCTTGTGGCTGCCTCAGGGCTCTTGTTGCTACCTCGGGGCTCTTGTTGCTGCCTCGGGGCTCTTGTGGCTGCCTCGGGGCTCTTGTGGTTACCTCTGACCCTCTGGGGACCTTGTAGCTCTCGTGGGGTCTCTTACTTTCTGGATTTTTTTTTTTTACCTTTCTATACCTTTTTGAGATTTTCTTTATTTTTTTGCGATCTCCATCGCATTTTTGTTTTGTTTGTTCTCTGGCTTCCTGAGAACCAAAGAACCTCGGGAACCATTCGTGTTCTTATAGATCTCGTCTCGATTTCTCGAGGGCTCTCTTGGGCCCACAGAGCCTTTGTTTTCTGAATGTTTCTTTGGCTTGAAAGGGTAATCCTTGTGGGTGTCCTTGGCTTATTGAAGCACTTTCGTAATTCTCCATGATACCTGGTTGATGGAGTTCTGGGAGTTCTTCTACTCCCCAAGCCCGGCCCGAGGCCAGACTTGACTTGTGAGAGTTTGGTCCACCAGGCTGTTGCTTGGAGCGGCCCGCAGGCCCACATACCCACCACAGCCCGGCTGGTCCGGCACTCTTTGAAGGAAATAATCTAGTTTCTTCTTGAAGATGTCCACAGTTGTTCCTGTAATATTTCCATGGACTACAGTTTTTTATTGTATTTCTGTGGCTTGCTTTAGCTTTGAGTTGTTACTTCAGTTCACTGAAGCTTTTTTCCGGGTTTGTAGGTCTTCTGTGAACTTCTGAAAATTTCCTTACATTCCTGTGATATTCTTTGATGACTTTGACCATTTATTGAACTTTTATGTCTTGTTTTTACTTAGCTATGGCATAAATTGGCTTTACGATGTTCACTTAGGTGTATCTACCGACGCATTCTTGACTTCTTAGAGCTGGTTATGACTTCCTTTCGTTGCTTTGATTACTTGATCTATGTTTAGCTTTTCGAATCTTGTTTTAATTTATAATATATTCTCTCAGGCTCATGAAGCTTTTCTTTGCTGGTTGGTCTGGCTGGTCCCTTATTTGTGAGGCCTTCCTTAGACTCTTAATACCGCTCTCTATCTTCCTGAGTCATTCTGAGGCTGCAGCAGCAGCATTAACAGCAGCAGTATCATCAACACAACAACAGCACACCTGTACCAGCAACAGCACACCTGCACCAGCAACAGCACACCTGTACCAGCAGCAGCACACCTGTACCATCCAATGTACACGTGGCCGCCCCCTTCCCTCCCATTCACCTGCAGAAGACAGGTTTTACTCCAGCAAGCGAAGAATGGTCTAGTGACGCCCACACCTCGCCCGACTGGTTTGTAAAATGACTCTCAGTACGCAGTGGGGTGTTCGGTCCATCCATTGTTTCACTTTCAGTACGCAGTGGGGTGTTCGGTCCATCCATTGTTTCACTTTCAGTACGCAGTGGGGTGTTCGGTCCATCCATTGTTTCACTTTCAGTATGCAGTGGGGTGTTCGGTCCATCCATTGTTTCACTTTCAGTACGCAGTGGGGTGTTCGGTCCATCCATTGTTTCACTTTCAGTATGCAGTGGGGTGTTCGGTCCATCCATTGTTTCACTTTCAGTATGCAGTGGGGTGTTCGGTCCATCCATTGTTTCACTTTCAGTACACAGTGGGGTGTTCGGTCCATCCATTGTTTCACTTTTAGTACACAGTGGGGTGTTCGGTCCATCCATTGTTTCACTTTCAGTACACAGTGGGGTGTTCGGTCCATCCATTGTTTCACTTTTAGTACGCAGTGGGGTGTTCGGTCCATCCATTGTTTCACTTTCAGTACGCAGTGGGGTGTTCGGTCCATCCATTGTTTCACTTTCAGTACGCAGTGGGGTGTTCGGTCCATCCATTGTTTCACTTTCAGTACGCAGTGGGGTGTTCGGTCCATCCATTGTTTCACTTTCAGTACGCAATGGGGTGTTCGGTCCATCCATTGTTTCACTTTCAGTACGCAGTGGGGTGTTCGGTCCATCCATTGTTTCATTTTTAGTACACAGTGGGGTGTTCGGTCCATCCATTGTTTCACTTTCAGTATGCAGTGGGGTGTTCGGTCCATCCATTGTTTCACTTTCAGTACGCAGTGGGGTGTTCGGTCCATCCATTGTTTCACTTTCAGTACGCAATGGGGTGTTCGGTCCATCCATTGTTTCACTTTCAGTACGCAGTGGGGTGTTCGGTCCATCCATTGTTTCACTTTTAGTACACAGTGGGGTGTTCGGTCCATCCATTGTTTCACTTTCAGTACGCAGTGGGGTGTTCGGTCCATCCATTGTTTCACTTTCAGTACACAGTGGTGTGTTCGGTCCATCCATTGTTTCACTTTCAGTACGCAGTGGGGGTGTTCGGTCCATCCAATGTTTCACTTTCCGTATGCAGTGGGGTGTTCGGTCCATCCATTGTTTCACTTTTAGTACGCAGTGGTGTGTTCGGTCCATCCATTGTTTCACTTTCAGTACGCAGTGGTGTGTTCGGTCCATCCATTGTTTCACTTTCAGTACACAATGGGGGTGTTCGGCCCATTAAATGTTCCATTGTTTCACTTTCAATGTGCAATCTACACACATATTTATATTTATATGGGTTAAGCAGTAAGTTTCTCATTCTGGGGTCTCCCAACATTGAATCATGTAGAAAATAATGTTTTGGATTTTTCTTAATGAAGATGGAGTCTTATTTAGCGAGCTTGAAATATGGTTTAATTTGCAATTTCATGCAAAGTAGGCATGGAGGTCAACCTCCACCAGCCTTTGACTGTCCCCCAACAACCTCCAGTCACCCTGCAAAGTTTGGTGAAGCTATCTATCGCGGACAGATATTCTCTTATATAGACATAGAGATTATTTTCACATTAGTCCTGACATGAGTACCGCCAGGAGAAATAAGACCTGGTACTCCAGCTCAGAGCCGCAGTCACCCATCAGTAAGGTAATATTAAATATGTTTAGCTATTGTTGGTGTACAGAAGTTGGGGCCCATGTGGCAATGTAAATTTAGAAGCGCCTGACGGCTGAGTGGCCAGCGTTCGGTGTTCGTAGTCATAAGGATCCGGGCTCTATCTCCGGCGGAGGTGGAAACAAATGGGCAGAATTTCTTTCACCCTGATACCCTGTTCACCTAGCAGTAAATAGGTAGCAGGGAGTTAGACAGCTACTAGGGTCTGCTTCCTGGGAGTGTGTGCTTGTGAAAATAGGTTTAAGGACCTGCTCAAAACGCTATGCGTGCTAGTGGCTGTACTAGAATGCAAGAACTCTTGTATATATTAATAAATAAAAATAAAATAAATGTGTAAATGACAATGTGTGTTTAAAAGAGTTTACCGTCAAATATGAAGAAAGAAAATTATCAGGGGAAAGCGCTAAGTCATGACGACTATATAGCATTAGGAAGGGGGTCACAATAGGGGATTTGGGATGGGACGGGGGGGAAGGAATGGTGCCCAACCACTTGGACGGTCGGGGATTGAACGCCGACCTGCATGAAGCGAGACCATCGCTCTACCGTCCAGCCCAAGTGGCTGGGCTGAGTTGGAGCACCTTTGAGAAACTCTGTTATATATTGAAATGTAAGAATGCATTATGCTTTAAAGTGTAAGTATTGGGCAGGTGACGCTCTCTGGACCTATAAGTAGCTATAAGGCCCAAACAGTAACGATGTCTGAAGATGCAGATGAAAAGTCACAATAACGAGGCTGAAAAATGTTGACCAAACCACACACTAGAAAGTGAAAAGACGACGACGTTTCGGTCCGTCCTGGACCATTATCAAGTCGATCACAATCGACTTGAGAATGGTCCAGGACGGACCGAAACGTCGTCGTCTCTTCACTTTCTAGTGTGTGGTCTGGTGAACATGTCTGAAAATGTCTACTGAATGTCTAAAGAACAGGGCGAAGCATGGGAAAGATTAGTGACGTAACACACATGTAGATCAGTAAACAAACGGCTCACTGACCTCTCGCTATTATCTTACCTGTTGAAGGTCGCTGTGCTAAAAGTCCTCTCACATGCTGACCAAATTTCCCAAGGTGGCCAGTCTATGTCTCTGGAATACCAACAGGTTACTTTCAGCACCATTTAAATACACCTCTTACTCTGGATGACCAGCGGGAGGTTACACCCACTCTCAACACCCACGCTACACAACCGTATTCACATTCATTTTATAACACATTAGAATATGTAGGTGGGGTTAGTGGTTGTGTTGGTGTTGTGTAGTCTGCACGTACCACAGCTCCTGTACCCCCTCCTGGTTGCACCGTAACTACCATAGACACACCTTGAGGTGGAGCCGGTCGGCCGAGCGGACAGCACGCAGGACTTGTGATCCTGTGGTCCTGGGTTCGATCCCAGGCGCCAGCGAGAAATAATGGGCAGAGTGTCTTTCACCGTATACCCCTGTTACCTAGCAGTAAAATAGGTACCTGGGTCTTAGTCAGCTCTCACGGGCTGCTTCCTGGGGGTGGAGGCCTGGTCGAGGACCGGGCCGCGGGGACACTAAAAGCCCCGAAATCATCTCAAGATAACCTCAAGACAAGATAAGGTTACCTTGAGGTGCTTCCGGGGCTTAGCGTCCCCGCGGCCCGGTCGTCGACCAGACCTCCTGGTTGCTGGACTGGTCAACCAGGCTGTTGGATGTGGCTGCTCGCAGCCTGACGTAGCGTGTCGCACACCTGGCCAACCATCTCTCCGAGTCCTTGTGACTGGGGCCGCCCAGTGAATGGGTCGCCCACTGGACTAAGCCTTGTTAATATTAAAATGACTTTTATACGCACCAATGCGCTGGGTATTCCCAGATGCACGCTCTAATGTCTATGACACCACATGGTCAAAAGAATTGCAACCTTGGGTACTACTGAACCCTCGAGGATTCCCGAGGCTTCCACTGAAGCCGAACCGGGGTTTCATCCCCCCCCCCCCAGGCACTCTGGCTCTGTCGTGCAGTCACTCTACCTCTGACGCCTCTCTTTCAATACACACAGAAATCATATCGTGTTATATCAATATATGACGATAATATATCGATATTGATATATCATAATAATATATGGAGATGTATCAATATATCAAGGTGATCACTGTTCTCCCCGACTCAACTACTCGGACTTAATTGCGTCGTTATTATTAATTAATTAAGCTTATGTGGATAAATACTCTCCAGCTTATTTGTACCACTGAACACTTGAACAAACGTTACAGTTGTGTTCATATGAGTTTGTTGTATCTCTATATATGGCTCTGAAGTCATTAATATTCTGATTGCCTTCATTATTATCATTATTCTGATTGATAACACAATTAAGCAGACGAACATTCAACTAATACCTCGCCTCACCTTATATTATTGTTGCATGCAAGTGCTGGTTATATTAGCCTAGCGTTCTCTCCTGATAAACAAATCCACAAGGGCCGTGATGAGGGTTCGAACCTCTAATGATAATTACCTCCACGGCTTCTATAGCCTCGTCCCCTACCTGAGCACCTCATTGTTGAATAGTGTTGGATTATTCTTTAATATTTGGTTTAAATTCAACTTTATTCCTCACCTCGCCCTTTCCATCTTCCATCACTCCTAATCATCTTCGTTTCGTACCAAAAAAAGTTGTCTTTTGTTCCGTGCGACTATTGGAGCCGCGGTTGACAGCGTCCTCCCCCAGGGAGAGGACTCGCTCGCCTTGAACCACAAGCCTAGAATGTGTCCACTCTGGTTCCCCTCAACATGCCCTGGTACCTGTCCATGCCCCGAGTTGAGAAGCACAGGTGTGTGTGTGTGTGTGTGTGTGTGTGTGTGTGTGTGTGTGTGTGTGTGTGTGTGTGTGTGTGTGTGTGTGTGTGTGTGTGTGTATGATAGGTTTCCGGTTTGTCCAACTCAATAGTGCCGATTTCTACTTACTAATTTCGTTGTACGTCGGTATATATACTATGGTCCTCATCGTTACTATAATTACTACCAAAACAACAGGATGGGCTGGTATATATATATATATATATATATATATATATATATATATATATATATATATATATATATATATTCAAGCTTTGGGGACCATTCAGGCTTGTTCGCATTTGTGTTCCTCATGTGTGACCCAAAGAATGAGGTGATTTGATAAAATACTATGCCCAAGATTACTATCAGAGCGCCTACAGGATGATGGGGAAATAGCCTCGGCTACCATCATCTTTTGTCCAGTCGTGATGGTCGAGTGGTTAAGGTGTCCTGTACACCAGTTGCAGAGTGCTCCTGGCAGTATAGGTTCGAGTCACTTCTGGGGTGTGAGTTTTCGGTTGCATATATGCCTGGGGACCATTCAGGCTTGTTCATATATATATATATATATATATATATATATATATATATATATATATATATATATATATATATATATATATATATATATATATATATATATAGGAGTTCCTACGTTCTTGTACAGCCACCAGCACGTGTAGCATTTCGGGCAAGTCCTTATTCCTAATTATCCCTGGAATACGACCCGCTAAATCGTTTAACAACCAGGTACCCATTCACTGCTGGGTGAACAGAGGCTACAGTTAAGGACTAGTGCCTAGTCAATCCTCACTGGTCAGGATACGAACCGCAGGCCAAAGCGCTCGCGAAAAGCCAGACGAGTGTGTTAATTACCACTTCTCCACGCCATAATAGTCACAAAGAACCCAAGTGACCGTGCCCAGGCATCGTCGGGAAGGTTGAAGCCATCATTATACAGTGAAGTATTATCACCTCTAGTGTAGTCCACCTCAAGGGCTCACTTTCATTTTCTTCCGCATGCTCACCAGACTGCTCAACACCTCCCCAGACTCCTGCTACCGCCGCCTCTGGTCCCGCCAAACACACACACCCAAACTACGACGTTGCTACAACATTCGAACAAGTTTTAACGCCTCCTAACCAGTTATAACAACCAATATAGCAAGTTGTAACAACATTCTAATACGTCATAAACACATGTAACAACTTTATTACAAGTTGTAACAAGTTGAAAATAGGGAGAGTTTCGGTTTGTGTTTCCAGGGGTACGACCACGTGGCATGGCGAGCATATCTATGCTTATAACCGAATTAAATGATTAAAGAAACGTCAAAGAGGCTCCGCTAGAAGGTCTTAGACGGCTGTGGATGATAGTGAAGGCTTGTAGATGGTAAGGAAGAGGTTAGAGTTTGTTTCTACGAGACAAAAATCCTACTTTATAGAAAAGAATGGTATGAAAGGTTTGTGTGGACGCCACTGACAAACACACACACAGAGGGACCAGTGGTGGTGGCCGGAAGTTCCGATGGTGGTGTAATTTGGG